TAATGAGAAAAAAATAAACACAGTTTTGGGTTATAAGTGTTATAAATACATTGTATAGTGTTAAGCTATAGATCTATAACATGTTTTCTAACAATTTATGGGTAAAACAGATTAAAAAATAGATAAATGTTGCAATTCTATTCATTGCCATCACAAATTATATTTTGACCTTTGCAGTTAAGTTGACCTTGAAATCTGTCTGTGGAGCTGGCTGTTTATGACATGATCATAGATGGTGCTGCCTTGCATTTACACTGTTATCTTGCACTGTTTGTCCTTCAGGTGTTAATGACTTAATATGGTTTTTGTGGTTTTAAGGCCCTGTACTATATTACTAAAACATGACCAGTTTGTAGTTCAGGTTGGCCTAGAACTCCCTATGTAGGCATGCCTAACCTAGAACTCAGTACGTAGCCCAGGCTGGTCTGGAACTCATAGAAATCCTTCTGTTTCATCCTCTTAGCCTAACCTAGAACTCAGTATGTAGCCCAGGCTGGTCTGGAACTCATAGAAATCCTTCTGTTTCATCCTCTTGAGTGCCGGAGTTACAGACACAAGACCCCACAGTTGGTGTACCAATTGTTTTAAAGATATTTGTGACTAGCATACATTTGAACATTGGAATATGATTTTCACACAGATTTTTAATATTTTTTTTAAACAGGAGCTTATAATTTGTACCATAGACTTTAAAGAAGAAAACAAATTCTTAAATTCATCATTCTCTGATGCTCTGTAGGTAGTACTTTTGTTTTTTTGTTAACAATCCTAGTAAACATGAATCTCTGAACAAATTGGGGTAAGATGCAAAGTGCTTGGGTTCAGTCTTGCTAGCGAGACTTGCTTCCTCATCTGGCAGATTGCATTCTTTTGGTCAGATGACCTACAACTGGCAAGTGGAGGTGCAGTCTCCGTGAGTCAGTAGCACCATTTCCCAGTGGCCCATGCAGCTGTTTCCACTCATTAGAGTAAAAGTGCGTTTCTCACTAACTGGAGGAGTGTGTTGGCAGTAGTGGTCCCCACCGTAAGAACTCCTTGTGCAGTAGTTTAGCTTGGAGCTTCCACTCTCATGTCTTTGTTTCTCTGTATTTTTGTCCCTAGCTCTCAGGGTGTCACAGTTAGTCTGAACACCACCTCTGGCATAGTCACGTCGTTTGAGCTGTCTGACAATACTAATGACCAATCTGGAGAACAGGAGGAGTCTGAGTATGAACAAGGAGAGGACGAGCTAGCCTACCACAAGCCTGACGGACAGGAATTGTACACTCAGGAATATCCAGAGGAAGGACAGTACGAAGGCCATGAAGCAGAGTTGACAGAAGACCAAATAGAGTATGGGGAGGAGCCGGAGGAGGAGCAGCTGTACAGTGATGAAGTGCTGGACATCGAGATCAACGAGCCTCTAGATGAGTTCACAGTGAGTCCTTCCCCTTTAGATGAGTTCACAGTGAGTCCTTCCCCTTGGATGGCCAGAGATAATCTGGCTTCCTGCTGGTAGGTCTATTCTAGACTGATTGGAAGCCTATTTACCTCCCTCGGGAGGGAGAGAAATTAGACCATATTATCACTGTCATCCAGTTTCTTTATCTGAGCTATGACAAAGTTTGTGTTGACAGCTTGTTTGGCCAGCAGTAGTGCTCCTTTGTCATTCTGGCAGGCTGCAAAGAATTCTGACCTTGAGGATTGCACCCTAAGGAAGAAAACAGCTTTGTGTGGTGGAGATACCCTGTCATTTGTGGGAAGTGCTTAACGCAGAGCTTTTATCCAGGCTTTGGATGAGATCTGATAAAGTCCTTCTAAGGTGAAAAGATTATTGACCTGCTAAAGACATCGTTAAGGTCCTAGTATTCCAGAGTGATTGATGTCCTGTTTTCATTCACCCTTTTTGTAACTGAGAACTATCTAAACCTGAATAAAGAGGTTGGAGGTTAGTTTAGAAAATGTCACACAGAATTTGTTATCTGTAATCAAGCAAAGATGGTGTTGATTTTTATTTCAAAAGGATGGCTTTGGTAGGTAGTTTTTTTTTTTTTTTTTTTTTTTTTTTTTTTTTTTTGTTTTTTTTTTTTTTTTTTTTTTTTTAATTACGTTGAACCATCAGGAAAGAAAAAGGTCCTTGTGTAATATTGGTCACCTGTCATCATTGTACATCATCAGAGGAGGTCTGCATTTAAAACAAGCATCAAATGACATTGATGCTGGAAGGATGTGATGGCTGCAGTTGTGTGGAGCCTTAGGGTTTTCAGAGCCTCGGAGTCCCATGAAGGCAGAGTGGAGCTAGGACTGCTGCAGTGGGCAGGACGTGTGCGGCACTGGCTCTGCTGACCACCTGGGTGGGAGTAGCTCTCTTAACCTGTGATGCCTTCAGTGGACAGTGGTGAGCAGTTGCTGCATCTTGGTCATTTACATGTGTCCGAGAGTATTTCATAGAGTCTGACGACATGGAGCCTGTTTAATTCATCGTGACTGCTTAGGGTCTCAGGAGGTAGAGGCTTATTCTTCAGAAAAGTATTCGTGGTTTGGTCTGTAAGTGATGAACAGCGCCATGGAGCCTGCTGTCTGTGGCCCTGTAACACCATGTTTTAGTAATGATTCCTTCGGTAGATGAACACTGGTCTTCTGTGTTCTGGTGGGCTTGGTATGTTCTCACAGGGGGACACTGTGGCTTAGAGCGCGTCCTGAAAGCTAACCCAAGGTCTTTGAGAATGGGCCTCGTTTCTTAGCTGTACTTTGTTGTTTCTGTTCATCTGTGACACTGGCTGTCTGTCAGTTGGGTCCTTATCTATAGATTAAGTAGTTGGCATGTCTTTACTGATAGTGTCCCAAATGTTGCTGAATCATAAAAACATATGAAAGTGGGCCCTGTTCACAAAGTTAGAACGTAGGGGACCAGATCACATTGTAAAAGTGCTTATAGGACAAGTTTGTGGAGTCACTTAGGAGCATGTCTCACTGAACCTTCTGTGGACTTGGGAAGAGTACTTGTGGTCAGTGAGAAATATCCTTAGGACCACATAAAGTCCCAAGTAAAATATAAAATTCACTTTGTTATCCAGCATTCTGTGGTGTGAGATTCCAGTATTGAAAAGAAAAAATGTTTTGATTTTCATGGGACTCTTCCACATTAAAATCATCTTTGTTTAGAATTACAAAGAAAAAAAAAGCCCAAACCAAAAACCCCTAAAGTTTGACTTAGACATTCTGAAAGTGTCCTCGTAGTTTGCAGTGTTCCTGAAGGGAGAGGATAGTGGCTGATGGTTTCTTCTGAGCAGTGGCTGCTCACCTGAACATGTCTGGGTTTGGAGCCCAGCCACCCTCCTGTGTTTCTGTGAACACCATGGTGGTGGTGTCTGAAGTGAGCCCCTTGCATGGGAAGAGGTGAGACTCAAGGAGAAGGAGCCGATGCTCGCTCCTGTGAGGCACCTGTGCTGTCTTAGATTGTCCCTCAGGCAGATGACTTTTGACCCTTAGACCAGTGATCACAAGACTAGACTGTCTCTGTGAAGGGTCTATAGTTGGTTTAGTGGTTTGAACGTGTTCCTTGCCCTAGTTAGAATTTGTTAACCTCTCTGAAATGTGGCCCCATAAACATGATCCTTATGTGGGAGCCCACCTGTGAAGTCTTGCCTTAGAATCCCAACATCATAGACTTCACCTGTGAAGAGTGAGGGATCCAAAGATGCTGAGCGTGGGCAGCACTGCCCTGGCCTCGGACCTGTTGTGCTCACAGCAGCATGATCTTTAGGGGGATTTTGTGAGGACTGTTCTGGAACAGATTGTGATTTCATTTTATACCCTGAGCTTGGGTAGCAGTAAGGACTGCACATTGCTTAGTAGTCAACAAGATAAAGTAACTTGTTGGTGACATTTAAGTGTAATCACTATAATTAGGACCTAAGAAATTAGTATCCATTGAGAGTTCATAAAACTCAGTTTTATACCAGCATGTTCAGATTTGCAGTTTGTGTAGAGAGTAGCAGATGGCTCTGCTGTGTATTCGGCTGAAATCTTAATTAGCATCTTTGACCGTATTAGAATCTGATCTTTATTGCTGCCGTGATGGAGGGGAGTGTGGTTGTTCTTTTTGACAGGTTGCTAGCTATTTCTTCTGGGAGGTGGAGTACAGCACTAGGGTCATCTGGAAAAGTGGTTTTAGTCACTTGGAGAAGCTGCTTTCTTGGACTAGAGGAGAGTTTTGGGTCCTGTGCGGCAGGCTGCTCGCTTCTTGAAAGTGGCCACGGACAGTAGGCAAGTCCACCTGTGCAGGTAGGGTCCGCCCTTCCCTTGCTTGTTGGTCAAACCAACACCAGCAGCCTGGCTCTCTGGGCAGCGTGGTGATCTCCAGCCAGCTTACCTCCTTCCTTCCCAGTCCCAAGGACCGCTTGTCTGTTGGTGTGTCCTTCCCATTTCATGCAAAATCTGGAATCATCGTCTCAAGGGGAAGGCCTGAAGAAATCAGTGCAGTCTGATGTTGAAAAACGACTTGCTGCCATCCAGTCGCCCCTACTTTTGCTTTCTCTCTTGTCCTGAGATTGGTGAGGGTTGTGGACGATGTCAGCTCCTCCCGTCAAGCATGCGAGAGTGCATGCCTGGTTCTTCTCAGGCTGCTTTTCCCTTTGGACGGCCATGGGAACTGTAGAGGCAGAGCCATGTTGCTCACCTTGGTGACTGGGCTAACACGTGCGCTTTGCCTGCATGAACGTGTGGAGGTGCTCGGGGCTTTGCTCACACAGGCCACCACCTAACCTCTGCTAAGATAATTCCGCATGAATCATACATGAAAAGTGGTTGAAAAACACCCAAAAGCTTTGTGAGAAAACCGTTTCTTCTCTTTAATGGTGTTAGGATGAAGAGTACTTGCAGGCTTATGGTGGGCAGCAAGGGCTGCAGGGGCAGGAAGACTGTGTGGCTGAAGACGACTTAGATGGGATCACTGACTCCCAGGTTGCTCCCGACACCCATGAGGTACTTGTTCAGCTTCTATGTTTCCTGAGTGTTTTCCTTCCAGACCTAAAACGAGCGCCGCTGCCCTCGTTTTCCTTTTCTTTCCGTGGTGTTAGTGCGAAGTTGCGGCGTCTCTGTGGGCTGTGGGTGGAGTAGAAGCCCTAGCCTTCTGGACCTAGAGAATTGAATTCAGTGCTATGGCTTGTGAGTGGTGTGCCCTCTGCGTGTTAATGCTCTTTGTTGTTTGTTCTTACGTTTTCATTTATTGTTTTGTTATTGCATGTGTGTGATGTGGGTGTGCGTGTGCCATGGCACGTGTGTGGAGTCAGTTCCCTCCTTCCCCATTTGCATGGGTCCTGGGAAGCATTGAACTCAGGTCACCAGACTTGCACAGGAAGTGCTTTTCTTCCTGTGCTCTCCACCTGCCCTGTGCGGTAGTGTCTAAAGTGGTTTTTAGAGCAAACTCTAAACAAAATGAGGTACTAGTGCCTTGAAAGCAGTCTTATAATTCTTTTAAATTAGTATTAGTTAATTTGGGCCACAATTCAAGAAATACTGCAAGGTTCCCCGAATCAGGGGTCTGTTGTAGGTGTTGAAACAAAGATGATGAAGCTGGTTCCTGCCCTCAAGGGACTTGTAGTCCAGTGTAGGAGGAAGGCACTGAGAATTAGTAATGTACAGAAGGAAAGTAACCTCTCTGGATGACCTCAGACTCATGGGGAGGGGCCAGGGTGTCTGGCTGTGTGGAGGAGGTGGCCCTCTGAAGTAGGTCTTAAAGGACTGGTAGCCTTGATAATTCTGAACTATCCTCACACTCTTGCAAACTGGTCCCATGTAGGACACAGAACATTTGTTTAGCCTTGTGAGATGTTGAATTTCTTAAAACTTCCATTTTTTCCAATAATTTAAAATTTTCTTCTTCTGAGAGATGTATGAAAGTCAGTATTTACCGGCTTAGACTGTTTATTTACTTTGGGTGTTAATGCCAGGGCTTTAGAGATCTGTCCGTTCTTCTTTCTGAGAATTCTGGGCATAAAACAGGAGTATTTCCTGGACATGTCCTTTCCCTTTGCGCAGGCTGAACTTGATTTTTCTTTTTGTGCTTTCTTTGTGTGTCTATTTGAAATAAATTTAAACTTGGAGAAAAGACAAGGTGAGTGCAGGGGACTTTGGCTCCAACCCTGCAGTGTAGGAGAACGCATTGCATCCAGCGAGCTTTGGCAAAGCTGAAGGACAGCTCCACAACTTGGGGGACCCAAGACAGGCCATCCTGGTTGTTGGTGCAGTTCTGTAGCACTCTGCCCAGCACAGCGCTCACCCCGCCTAGCCAGGCCTATGGGACACCAAAGAGAAACCCAGGAAGCTGTGGAAGCAGGGAGGGGGAGCAGCTGGAAGGCCGCCAAGAGCTCTAGGTGCTAAGTGGGTGGTAGGAAAGCATGGAGTTTGGAGCACATCTGTGGCCTTTTTACTGATTTGTAGTATTTTGAGTTTGGAAGGAGTTAATTTCATCCCCCCCAACACAGTTTTATTTAGTTTTTTTTAGGTAGCAGTATTACCCTTACTCATTTCTCAGATTTTATTGTTGTAGTGTATTTTGGAGTTGAGGGAGGTTTTGTAGGTTTCAGTCCTCAGATGGACGCTGGGGAGCAGCGTCACATCCACACTTGCTGATGGTGTGTGCTGTGATGGTGTATGCCTCCTGGGTCTGGACACCTGGAACTTCAGTCGCTGGAGTATATTAATTAAAGTAGATAAAATAAAAATGTGTTGGAGAGGCAGTTCCGGGAGGGAACAGAAGGGACATGTGCAGTACTTAAAAAAGGAAATCTGGGGGCTGGAGAGATGGCTCAGAGGTTAAGAGCACTGACTGCTCTTGCAGAGGACCTGGGTTTGACTCCCAGCACCCACATGGCTACGAACTGTCCTTAACTCCAGTTCCAGGGGAATCCGAAGCTCTCTTCTGACCTCCATGGCATTGCATGACACAGGTGCACTCACATACACATACACATACACATACACATACACATACACAAATACACATTAAAAAATAAAAATAAAATATAAAAAAATAAAAATAAAAACAGGAAATCCAACCATGTATGAGTTAATGTGACAAAACACTTTAGACAGAGATTACTTATTTTTGATAGTAAAAAGAGATTCTTCCTTATCAGTATTGGGGGAGGCTCAAATTATAGTTTTCAGTGTTTAAAAAACACTCCACATACGAATGTCTCTCTCACCTTCCCAACTTTAAACACTGGAGGAAAGGTTTTTTTTCTTTTTTTCTTTTTTGGTATTTCGAGACAGGATCTCCCTGTAACCCCAGGCTGGCCTCCATTTCACAAGCCTCCGCCTGTCTCTGCCTCCTGAGTGTTGGCATTAAAGGCATGGTGGTGCAGGAGGAAAGCATTTTAATCATGGTGTGTTGGCAATCTGTTTACTGTGAAACAGAAAACCTACCAAATCTTAGCTGTTGGGGGAAGCTATTTGGGAATGTGACTCACCATGATGAGGTGTGCAGGTGTCTTCAAGACTACGCAGTGCTGTTCTGGTCTGCACCGTCTAGGGTGTCGTCCACGAAGGCCAGCGGGGACTCCGCCACATTTACAGACAGGAGAAATGAGAGGCTGCCCCAATGGCAGGACTAGCTGGAGAGCAGTGCGCTTCAGTCAGTGACAGGTCAGCCAAAATTAGGGCTTGTATCATGGAGTTAGGCTCTTTAAGTCATGTAGGAAAACAGTGATTTGATCATAACTAAATGCCCTAAAACAATGTAAATAAAGTTCAGAAAAATGACATATGTGAGGAAATATTGTATAAGAGCCTGAAAATATTTTAGTACATAAGGCTAAGGTAACCACTGGAATATAAGTGTTAATAGTATATAGCTTGTCTCAGAAAGACTCAAAATGAACTGTGTAGTACATTTGGTATATACGGATGAATGTGCAGAAATAGCTAAAATGGAATCTGCACCTGAGCTGTATGTGAAATACATTCAGTAAGAACTAAAACCAAACCTACTTTAATACTGGAAAACCCAAGATTACCATGAGGTGCAGTCTTACTGTGTTGGGGACAAAGTAATGGAGGTGCCAGAGGAGGATTTTCCATGGGTTCTTCAGGTTCTGAACACGATGTGAGCAATTGCTGCTTGGTTGTCCACGTGGAAACTGTCCAGGCAGGCTTTTATAGCTGATGACCTTGAAAGAAAGGTCTTCCTCCAGGACCAGACAGGTTTGGGTAGGACAGATTGGAGGTCCTGCATGGAGGGGTCCATCCTGAAGCACATCTCCCTCTGGACAGGGTCACCTGACCCCAGGGACTGAGCAGGGCCTCAGGGAAGTGCTGCTGCTGGTGATAACTCAGCCAGACTGGCAAGAGTCCTAGTCTTAGAGCTTCTGTGGATCTGTGGCGGGCCACATGTTGCTTTCAAGCGTAAACAGTCTCAGCAGCTGTGAAGCATTCTTGTTCTTTAATGAATTTATCGAAAGGAATTCTGAGATGGGTTCAAGGCTGTGTGCACCGTGTGTTTAAAGCACTGGAAATATATGGAACCAATGCAGATTTTTATAAAGCGCTAAGTGGTTATGGTGACCCCACAGTGCAGTGATCTGTTCTGTCTCTCTGCTGTCTGCCGTGGGAAGATGTGGCTGATAATGGCATGGAGGGAGTGAAGTGTGTTAAAGATGAAAATGGCAATAGTGATTACTTGTAGGTGGTGGGTTGTTTAGTCTCTACCAGACTTTTCTAGTATTAAGAACTTAGGAGTGGGGCTGGAGAGATGGCTCAGCAGTTAAGAACACTGGTTGTTCTTGCAGAAGACCTGGGTTCGAATCTCAGCACCCACACGGCAGCTAACAGCTGTCTGTAACTCCAGTCCCAGGGGATTTGAGGGCCTTTTCTGTCCTCCGCGGCCATTGCACGACACGGGTGCACTTACCTACATGCAGGCGATACACTCATACACATGAAATAAAAATAATAAATAAAATCTAAAAAAGATAATGGGCCAGGCGTGGTGGCGCACGCCTTTAATCCCAGCACTCGGGAGGCAGAGGCAGGCGGATCTCTGTGAGTTCGAGGCCAGCCTGGTCTACATAGTGAGTTCCAGGACAGCTGGGGTACAGGGGAGCCCCTGTGTAAAAAAAACAAAAAAAAAAAAATTCGGAAGCCAAAAATTTTAAAAAAAAAAAAAAAAAAAAAAAAAAAAAAAAAAGAACTTAGGAGCACATTAACATACGTAAAGCAGTAAATGGAAAGAAGTACCAGGTGGTTAAAATCTTAATGCTTTAATTTGTGAGGCAACACGGGGAACTTTCTGAAGGTTCAGCAGGCATCTTCAGAGCAGAAAGTACACTGGACAGGGCAAACACTGTGCTCCTGCTGCCGTCCACCGGAAGCTGTACTGTGTCTTTGTTCTGCAAGCTGTGTGCCTGTGCTTGGTTTAGGGTTTGACGGTTTGAGAGTTGCTGGGGCTTCTCTCTGCCCTTCTTCCCTGCTCGCTGCTTCACCGTTCTTGTTGCTGTGTCTCCGGGGCTCACTGCAGTTTTCCATGTGTTCACAGGACCCTTCATGTCCCTTTTCAGAGACATGCTATGTGCTGCTCTTGTCCCTGGCAGCTAGACGGTTTGAGCTGGTTTGTCCAGTTAGAATCAGTACTTTATTTGTAAGACAGTAATTAGGATTTTAGGTGCTGAGAAGTTGACATTACTCACTATCTCAGTATTACTTGTAGATTTTGATTTAGGGAGTTGTTGATAATAGTTTTTAGAAATCTGTCTAAGTTACGTAGTCCACAGGGTGAAGGATCAGCTTTACTCTTCCACTCGTACCTGTGTTTTGGTGTCTTCCTGGTTCTTTGGCCTGTTTCTTAATTTTCCGCAGTGGTGAAGAGCGGCCCTCAGCTCCCCTGGCATGGAGCGGCAGAGGGAGGAGGCAGGCTGCAGTTTTCACATGACTCCAGCCTAGAAGCTCTGAAGGTTTATGTTAGAACTTGAATTAGAGAGCTGAAAAACATTTAATTGAAGAACTCGTTTCAAGTGGTGCTTTAAAAATTTAATATTCTTGCCGGGCGTGGTGTCACACCCCTTTAATCCCAGCACTCGGGAGGCAGAGGCAGGCAGATCTCTGAGTTCAAGGCCAGCCTGGTCTACATAGTGAGTTCCAGGACAGCTGGGGCTACAGGGAGACCCTGTCTCAAAAAGACCAAAAGAAAAAATTAATATTCTTGCTTGGTTAATACAAAGAAATTACTGTGCTTGAAACAAATTGGAAAGATCTATACAAAGGCTCTGCTTTCTCATTATTTGCAGTTATACTTTGATTTCTGACATAAAGAGCTTGCTTTCTAAAATAGTTTTCACAAGTATAGAGGAAGAAATGAGAGGTGTTGAGAAAAACATCTTTCAGTATTTGAAGTACTTTAAAAATCATAATGGGGTGCTGTGCTGGAGAGATGGCTCAGCAGTTAAGAGCACTGGCTGCTCTTGTAGAGGACCCCAGGTTCAGCTCCCAGTATTCACATGGCAGCTAACAACCGTCTGTAACTCCAATTCCAGGGAGATCCAGCGTCCCTCTCTTAACTTCCATGGGCGTTTCACGACACAGGTGCACTTACATACGTGCTGGCAGTACACTTATACACATAAAAAAAGAAAATAAAATATTTTTAAAAATTGTAATGGGGCTTGGGGAAGCTAGCTGCTCACTGAGTGAAAGCTCTTGCATGAGGATCTGGGCTTGAATCACAGCACCCATGTAAAGGCTGGGTGGGGTTGGAGACAGGCAGATCCCGGGAGCTCACTGGTCAGCCAGTCTAGCCAAATGGTGAGTTTCAGGTTCAGTGAGAGACCTGTCTCAAGGGAATAAGGCTGTGAATGATAAGAGGCCACACAGTACTCTGACCTCCCTGTGTGTGTAAGTGTGTGCATATGCCACACACACTGCAATGGTTACCGTAGGGGTGGGCAGCCATTGGTCATTTAGGTCTTCGAGGAATGCACACACGCATCCAGTGCCTCCAGTGCCTCCTGGCGAGCCAGCTCCACACGGCCACTTGCAGTAGCCCGAGTTTTCTTCAGAGACCTCCACTCAGGGGAAGCTGGAATTCTTGGCTTCAGCACAGAAAAGAAATTCAGGGTGAGCCAGCATGAGGCAGACTTGGAGTTATGAAAAAGATTTTTTTTTTTTTTTTTAAAAACCTAGATTTAAACATGGGCCTGATAGACTCTAGGAGAGAGAACACACACTCAAGAGCACAAATGTGGCTTCCCAAGGGAGAGGCATTTCATTGTCCACACACCGTAGGAGCACGCAGTTTTGCAGAGAAGCTAAGGAACTTAAATGAGATCATGGGTGCTTCCTGAGGTACCTTGGATAGGATTTCAACTAGGGAGGGAAGAAGTTTCTAGTGAGGTAGGATGTTTCCATTATAAACAAACTGACAGTCCTTGTTTGTGAGATTCCCTGGGAAAGTAGTAAGCCATATTCAGGGTCACATAAACTCACCTTAAGAGTGAATCATTGTTATTTGACACTTGTTTTTGAAAATATCTCCATCTAAAAAGAAGTCTTCACAGCAAATGTTAATTGTCCTAGAATTCTTGGTTCTTCCTTGGTGAGAAGTTTCCCTCTCACATCCCCACAGCATTCCCTGTATGTCTACCTACCACAGGCTACATACAGCCCATGCTCTCTGGAGTCCGTCCTTCTTTCTAAGTCCTGACTCCTCAGAGGCAAGCTTCAAAATTTTATTTTACTTATTTTATGTGTTTGCCTGCATGTATGTAAGTGCATCATGTGTGTGCAAACCCCTGGAGGCCAGAAGTGGGCATAGGATCCTCTGGAACTGGAGTGAAATTTCAGATGACATCATGATGGTGCTGGGACCTGAACCTGAGTCCTCTGTACGAGCAGCCAGTGCTTTTAATCGCTGAGCAGCCATTTCTCTAGTCCCTTCCCCACGTTCAGTTGCTCTTTTCCTATATGAGAAGTCGCGTGGACGTAATGGACGTGGAGCAGCACTCCCGTGTCAGCCTCTGCAGTTGTTTCTTCTGTGGTGTTGGCAGTTGAACCCAGAGTCTCATGCATGTTAAACAAGGGCAGTGCCAGGGAGCCGCAGTCATAACCTCATGTCTAGCTGCTCAGTTCTCTTTCTGAGTCAGCATAGCTTGTTATGTGCATCAAGAGTTGTTGTGTTTATGGAGATACTCCACTACTCACTTTCTTCTTGTTAGGTGTTTGGGTTGTTCCCAGTGTTTTGTTGTTGTTGTTACTGTGAACGAATATTCATCTTTTTGTAGATAACACATTTTCCTTAGGTTAGTAATTAGTGGTAGAATAGTGGGATGCTAATTTTTAAAGTGGTTGTGGCATTTTATGCCCTGCCTCCTGGTTGAGCAACCTTTCGTTTCCATCTTGGAGGACAGTGTTTTCAGTCCTAACGGGGGCACCATTGTGTTTTTAGTCCTAATGGGGTACCGTTGTGGTTTTAGCTCACACTCTCTGCTGACTGGTGATATGGATCACTGTTGCACATATTTTTGAACTTTACATAATTTATAGATCCAGTTTTAGTCTCTTTCAGTTGGGCTGTCCGTTTGTATAAGCTACAGTATGCATAGTCTTCACTGGGGTTGTCTGTATATGTACGTTCTTCCCAGTACATTATGGTATTGTGTGCGTATTTGTAGCGTCTATAACCCAGAGAGATGGTGCTTGATGGGGTTCTACAAAGTCTAGATATCAAGTCCATTGGCAGATACATGTTATGTGAATATTTCCTCTGGGTTATGTCTTCTCTAAGTCCTTTCCCTTTTCCTTTTTGAGGCAGGCAGGGTCTCACTGTGCAGCCCTGGCCGGCCTTGAGCTTACCATGTAGACCAGGCTGGCCTGGAACTCAGAGATCCGCTGCCTCTGCCTCTCAGGTGCTGGGGTTAAAGGCCTGCCCTACCAAGCCTTGTCTTCGTTTTCCCAAATTGAGATTTTTAGACAAGATTGGGCATGTTCAGAGTGCTATATGCCACCCTGACGTATTTAAGTGCTATGTGCCACCCCTGACATATTTAAGTGCTATATGCCACCCTGACGTATTTAAGTGCTATATGCCACCCTGACATATTTAAGTGCTATATGCCACCCCTGACATATTTAAGTCATAGACAAAGTTTTTGCAAATTAAAGTTTTTGTAAATAGAAAATACTTTGGATGAAGACCACTGGGTCAATAACATTTTCTTAAAATTTATTTTTACGTCCATGAGTGTTTTGCCTGCATGTATGTAAGTGCATCTGTGTCATGCACTGCTCATGGAGGCCAGAAGAGGGCATTGGGTCCCCTGGAACTGGAGTTACGGATGGTTGTTAGCTGCCATGTGGGTGCTGGGAATCGAACTTGGGTCCTCTGCAAGAGCAGCCAGTGCTCTTAACTGCTGAGCCATCTCTTCAGCCCCGTTGTTCAGGATTAAAAAAAAAATGTACATTGAATTTTAATGATGCCTTTTCCATGTCTATTGATGTAACCACATGGTTTTTTTTTTTTACTGTGACTGCTGAAATCAGTGGGTGGGTGGAGGTGGTTTTTTCTTGGTGGCCGTACTGCTTACTGAGTGTGGTCTGTATCCCCTGGTGGCTCATGAGGAATGAGGGCTCTCAAGTCAGAATTCACCTTTGAACAAGAGTTCCATCATTGCACATTTTCCCAGAGCAGCGCTGCCTGGGGCATGTGGGGTGGCTCTGGAGACACCCTGGCAGTGGTGCCATGTGGGCTCATCTTGGACACCAGTCACTCTGGTCTGACTGTGTGCACAGTGATGCAGAAGTAATGGTGTCGGACCGGCAGGAGCACAGAGGTTCGGAGGCTCTAGAATTCTCCAGCATGGTGAACCCCAGGAATTGGAAGACCGTTGTCAGCAGACTGGATGTGACAGTGGTTCAGCTCTCACTTTCAGCATTGTGCCCCCATCTGTAAAGCAGACAGCCCGTGACTGGTAGCTAACTCTTCACAGAGAGAATTTTGGGAAAGGAAGAATACAAAATGATTGTACTCTGTTTTGATTTTTTTTCTTGTGTATTTTTAAAACAATATGCCTTCATTCCTCTTAAGAACGAAGAACATCCATGAGAGTGAAGAGGCAAGTACGAGTTTCCCTGATAGAAGTCGCTTTTGCTCAGTGGGTGCCTGCTTTCCATCTGAGAGTGGGCCACTGAGACCCGGGAACTGACCCAGGTCCATAGGCGTTTCAGGAAGAATTGTCTGAAAAAACTACTTTGGTTTGGGATGGATAGTAGAGGAAATTTTTGTGAGGGATACTGATAGAATAAAACATTTTATTTTAGTGTGAAGGAATGGCAAAAGAGAAAATGATTTTGCTTTGATTGGTCTCAGCCCTAAGCAACTGATGGCAAGATGAGCGGGCAAGAGTAACGTAGGGAGGATGGAGAGTGATGAAGGAAGGCTGTGGGAGGCCGGAGCAGCACAGCAGCCTCAAACCAGAACTGATCAGACCAGCTTTACAGCTTTCCTCACAGAAAGGCAAAGCAGGTGGCTTAGGAACTACGAGCAGTCCAGCCTACAGGGCTGAAGGAGGGTGCCATCTAAGGTGTGAGTTCTGTGCTGATGGAGTCAGAACTGCAGTGTTCATCTACAGAAATGGGATTTGCTAGTGTCCGCTTACGTAGACTCAGAATCAGCTTAGGTTACATGGAACTCTGTTTGCTCTGGGTTAAACTGGAGGTAGCAGGTCGAGCAGGGGTGTTTAGAACTGATATCTGTGCTCTGGAAGACTAAGTCGCAGCACAGTGTAAGACCATGTTAACCACCGGCAGGAATCTGTGTCTTCCACAAGTAAGTTGACTTTTAACATTTGAGGTTATTTTTCCCCCTGGAATTGGCTTACTGTTTCACATAGCCTCTGTAGGACCTGTGGCCTTATGGAACATTAAACATGAGTGATTGTGGACTCACCTCTTCCTGCTTGCCTTCTGTCTGTTGTGTAGGGAGGAATGGAGACACTGGAGCTCCAGAAGGACATGAAGGAAGAGTCGGACGAGGAAGACGATGACGACGAAGAGTCTGGAAGACTACGGTTCAAAACAGAAAGGAAAGAAGGAACAATTATTAGACTCTCTGATGTAACTAGAGAGAGAAGGAACATTCCAGAAACTTTGGGTAACTCTTTGTGCCTGTGTCCCATTCTTCTCTGCTCCCTCCATATTTTGTTGTGATTGATGACACAGGAAAACAGGTGACCGTTGGTGAGGACGTGTGGTCTGTGGAGGCCTGTGCTTGGCTTAGTGCTGTGCTTGGCATTCTGCCAAGTGGCCACTTCTAGAGTAACAGTGTTTGAGTAGAATATTTCAGAGGGTGTTTGTTTTTTAAGTAGTTTTTCCTTTGGAGACTGTGGCCTAAAGCTGCTTTCCTACTGACCCTGTTTTCCTCCCTGGTCCTGAGTTGGCCATGTGGGACGCTTGGTGGGAACACAGGCCCTTTTCCACGTAACACCCCTCAGGTAGCTAGGGCTAATTTTACTAGGACACAGTGATTCATCTTGCACTTTTAATGCCCGCATAGTCATCCTTTATGGATTCTCTTCTGTCTGCCGTTCATTAGTGTTTAGTGACTAGTTTGTAGAAATAGTTAATTGAATGTCAAGTAGTAGATGCTGCTACTGAAGCTCTACCTCAGACTCTTTCCTGCTAATAGTGGTGTCCTAGTCTGTCTCTCCACTGCTGTGATAGAACACTCTGACCAATACCAACTTGGGCTGGAAAGGGTTTATTTTATCTTTTTAAAAATATTATTTTTATTTTATGTGTACGACTGTATTGCCTGCATGTGTGTAAGCGCACCCATGACTTGCAGTCCCCGTGGAGGTCAGAACATTGGATTCCCCTGGAACTGGAGTTACAGATGGTTGTTAGCCACCATGTGGGTGCTGGGAATCGAACCTGGGTCCTCTGCAAAAGCAGTCAGTGTGCTCTTAACCACTGCACCATCTCTCCAGCTCCGGTTTATTTTACCTTACATCTCCCAGGTCACAGTTCATCAGGGAGCCCAAGGTAGGAACTCAGGGTAGGAACCTGAAGCACAGGCCATGGAGGAACACTGCTTACTGGCTTGCTCCCCTGGCCCCTGCTCAGCCTGCTTTCTTATGCAACACAGGCCCACCTGCCCAGGAGTGGCACCACCCACAGTGGGCTGGGCCCTCCCACATCACTCATCAAGAAGATGCCCCACAGACATGGCCACAGGCCGGTCCAATAGAGGAAATTTCCCAGTTGAGGCTCCCTCTACCCACGTGTGTTAAGTTGACACTACTTGACCCCACCTCTCTGCACAGCTTCTGCCCTTTCCCGCTGAGCAGTGTTTCTCAAGTTTGACTATTGCAGTCACTGTGGTGGACTTGGGAGCTCAGTGGTAGAAGCTCTTGTGTGCCTAATCCCACCCTGAGAGCTTTGCTGAAATAGCACTGGGGCCACTCCCAGCCATTCTTATTCATTATTCTAGGGCAGTGCCCAGAAAAGTTGTTATTTCCAGTGTGTTCCCAGGTGCTGCTTGGAGCCCAGAAGGACAGGGCCAGGATGTGGCCTCTTTCTAAGGAAGAAGGCAAGGGTCACAGGAGGTGAGGCTGTACCTGCCTTTCTGTCTTGGTTTAGATAAGAATCAAAAATCAAGGCCTCACATTACCTTCATGGCATGTTTGGGGGCGGGGTACATTTAGTACTGAAGTTAGAGCCCAGGACCTTGTGCATGGTAGCAGCTACCCTTAGCCCATAACCTTTATTACATTATTTGTGGTGGTTTTTACTATTGAATGTAAGCAGCTTGCCAAGTTCTTTAGGTGAACACTAAGCTGCCAAGACACACACACACATGCACGCACACGCAGTCGTGATACTGAGCTGAGCTATGAGCTAGTCTGGCACAGTACCAGGGTTTTTGCCCTCTCCCTCGATTCTCTTTCTTTTCTACCTTTGGTTCGAGATTGACCCATACCTTTTCTTTTCCGTCTTTTTGAGACAGGGTCTCCCTGTAGCACCAGCTGTCCTGGAGCTCACTATGAAGCCCGGGCTGGCCTCGAACTCACAGAGCCCCGCCTGCCTCTGCCTCCCAAGTGTGTGGATTAAAGAAAGGCGTGCGCCACCACGGCCTGGCTTTCTGACCTACACCGTTTTTTTTTTTTTTTCTTTTTGAACACAGCAGTTTAATAGATAATGGATATTACTGTTTTGGTTAAAAACATTATTGTTGATGTTGATGCTGAGTATACTCTAGATGCATAAAAATTGAGTAAGATAAAATGAAAGTGAAGAGTTTGTATATGGTTGAAGTTTGGTTATTACCAGCTTAAAATAACCATTCTGATTATTATTTTTCTTTCTCTCTTTTTTTATTATTTATTTAATAGCCATATAATTAGAAGAAGCATTTCATTACAGCAGCATTGACATATTCAATAATAATTTCCAGAGCTGAGATGCATCTCTTTCAAAATTGGCTGTAAATTTTTAGGTTTACCTTTGAATTAATACAGTCATACAGTATTGTACTGCATATAACCCCTGTAAGACATAAAATTAAATGAGGTTTTAAACTTTAAAAAAGATCTCCATTTCATTATTAAAATACAGGTTCATACAGAAAAATTCATTTTTAATACAATTGACACTATGATGTACATGTGTTTCTAATCTCTATATATCTGATTATTACTACAGTCGGTTACTTTCTGAGCTCCTTGGCATCTGAGCATAGATATAAAGTTATCAGGTAGATTTCATTGGTAATGTTTTTCACATCTACTAATTATTAAGGAGCAAATTTTTATGCTTTCTAGAGCCCTTATACTCTGATATTCCTGCTACTGTCTGCTGTGTTGTCGGCACCCCCAGCCATTCCCCATTACTTGCCTTTCTGGTGACTCTAGTCAGCCTATCTAGATGACCTACACTTTTTAAAAAAATGTTTAAAAATTTTTTTCAAGTGTATGAGTATTTTACCTGCATGTATGTAAGTGCACCCATATCCAGAAGAGGGTCTCAGATCTTGTGTAACTGGAGTTACAGATGGCTGTTAGCAGCCATGTGGGTGCTGGGAACTGCTCCCAGGTCCTCTGCAAGAGCAGCCAATGCTCTTAACTGCTAAGCCATCTCTCTAGTCCCTTACCTAGACTTTTTTGAAGTTAGAAAGTTGTCAGTTGTGTAAGCCATGTATCTTAGAGATGTCATAAAATTTCTTTAAAGCTTACTGTGTTTCTGATGAATTTGACCTGAATTTGTCCTTGAATAAAAGCAGATGGAGCAGATCTTTAAGAAGCAGTTTAGAAAGAGCAGAGTGTTTCAGCATAGCAGAAGAAACTGACTGGAGGAAAGATGTCCTGGTGTCTTGGGTTGGGCTAAGATGGACAAGGAAAAGATATCTGCACCTGGCCAAATGCTGAGGGCCTGGGCAGCAGTAGAGGTGGCTTCCTAGGCTGTGGAGGGCACTGAGGTGGGAGGTGGAGGAGGGAGTGGTGAGTCATCACTTCTTGGCCTTAGGCCTCATATGACTGTGTCTTTGGCATATGTTTGAAGCTTGAAGTCAAATGCATACTAACTGAGCTCCAGGGTAGCTGTGTGGTCTAAGGACATTAAGTCTACAACAGCTAAACTTAGGAGTAGGGATCTTTCCTCCCTCTACAGCCAGCTGGCTGAATGGCCACTGAGTTTGCTCCCCGACCCTGACCATGCTGCCTTCTGCCATGCCTTCCTCCCTGCTCATGGTACCTCCCATGAGGTACTGGGGTGGTGCTCTGGACTGGTCCAACTTCCTGGTGTTCGTGATTTTCATTTGTTTTCAGGACTTTTATCTCGTTTCCTTCTTTGTAGAATCATTTGTAATTGTATTTATAGACATTGTTTCAAGCCTTTTTTTCTTTTTGAGGTACCTGGCTGTGTAGACAGAAAAGGCTAGAAGGGCTGGTTTGTTGTGGGTCACACCCCTGGAGCTCTGGAAGGAAGAGATTATTTACTATTCTTCTAGACATTAAAAAAGACTAAATGTATCTTTATAGAATGGTAGTTTGGCTAGGAAATTGGACAAATCAAAATATTCAAAGCTCTTTTCTCTATATTTGTGAGTTCTAATTTAAGAAAGTTTAATGTTTGGAGACACAGGTTTTCTAGTAGTGTTGAGGTTAGGGTCATTCTTAGTATGGAAAGTATGTCGTTGTCCCTCAGAGCGTTGCTCCTGAGAGAACGTCCTGTTGTGTAGAGCTGGGGTTCGCAGGACTGTCACTTGCAGCTTGTTTGTATGACCCAGTGACAGAAATTCTAGTCTCTGTAAAAGTGGTCTGGATAGGTCTATAACAGAAATGATTACATTTATTAGCTTGCATAAAGCAGTTTGCCTACTGTTTATGCTGAAATTAGTGCCTTGCTCTTTGAGTATATATGTTGTTTTATAAAATACAGGTTTTGACCAATTGAAATTTTTTTTGTCATTTTGATTACAAACAAAAACTTCTCCTTGGCATAGCCTTGATTTCTGTTGAGAGCATTTTGCTCTTTAAGAAGAATCAAATGGTGCTCCAGCCTCTCCTGTTTCTGGCTCCACAAGGTTCACATGAAGGGGTGAGTTCTTTTCAAAATCTAGAAGGGAGTTTGGTCACTTTTAGTCTTTAGTTCATGCTGTCACCCTTAATTATGAAAAGCACAGATTCATGCATATGACCGTCTCCATTGTTAAAGAACTCAAGGCACAGTTGTTGATTTGATTGGATTAAAAGTGGAATTTAGGGCTTGATTGGTGAGCTTTTTTTCTTCAACTAGGATTCCAGAAATAAAACCTTACAGAGAAAGATTTCAGTGACTGTTTTCTTCATTTTCCCAATGATGACACACTACTGTGAATTCAGAAGATAAAGATTTCATTCCTTGCAAAGGATGCCACAGGTGTAAGTGGGAATTCCGTGGCAGAGCTCAGTTGTGCCAGGCTGCTGCTGTGTGGCAGAGGAGCGGGCCTCTTGGGGTGCTAGTGCCAGTCGCTCGCTGTCTGGTGGGATGCCGACCTGCTCTGTGGTCAGCCCCAGCTGTCCGGTGGGATGCCGACCTGCTCTGCTCAGCCCCAGCGTGAGGCCGTGGTTCCCTTGCTCCTTTCAGCTGACTTAAGAGGATCTTTGAAATCGGCATGAGCTGAAAGTCAAAGGCTGCGTTTGTTGTCCTTGTCCGTCATCTGTGCTCTTCGAGATCTTGTGTTGTCTCACCAGCACGTGTTAAATTACTTTGTATTGTTTTAACTAAAAAGTCTACTTGAAACCCTTTTATGTTGTTCTCTTGAACTAATATCTTTAATTTCATTTACGACCAAAGATATGTAGGGAGAATGTTTCCATATTGACAGTTGGAAATTGTTAGTGCTGACAATTACATACTGCCCTGTTTATACTATAGTCCTCTATTTGCAGAGTTTGACAAATTTCTTGGTTCAGTTGTCTTGTGAGGGGAAAAAAATTTGACTGTCTTTTGCTATTTTTATTCTGCCAAACTGTATTCTAGGAGTATGTGTTGATTTTCAACAACTACATAATTGTTTGGATGCAAATATGTTCTTAATATTAAGACGGGGACAGTATATTATAAAGTTGGCCATATTATGATACATCTCTTTACTTCAGGATCTGGACATAGTTCAGAAAACACTTAAAGGGAAATTAACATTTCAGTTGAAGTTACAAATGTAATTTCCATCCTGTCATATTTTGGTGACCTTCTGTGACAGCTTGTCTCAATTGGAGGAAAGCATTTTTAGTTGCTGATTAAAGATGTCATTTGAAACCATTTTATTACTGAGGATAGTGAAATGAATCTTGACACTCAAAACCACTAGAAAAATAATTGCTGATTCACTGCATAAAATGTGAGAGTGAACCAGTCATGTAGTCAGGATTAGAATAAAAGTCTGTGCTGGTGAAGAGGACATGAACTTTTCTGTGGAATGGGGTCTAGATTCATTTGAAGGGGAGGGAATACCTTAGAAAATTTTAAGAAAATGAATTACAGCTTAGAGATTTCTGGAAGAATTAAGAGTCCAAGGTAGTAAGTAGACTGTAATGATGCAATCACGAGGATTCACCCACTGGAGAAGAAAGCCTCAGGAAGGTTGCAGTAGCTGTCTTCAGGAAGTCCACATCCACCGGTGCAAGGTCTAGTGCACAGTTTAGACACTACTGTAAGGTAAAGGACCCTGTCTGGATAAAAGGTTTTTTTTTCCCCTAGGAGTTTAGAATAATAGGTTCTTGGAGTTTCTTAGGGTCTGCACCATGTTCTCTAGATCCCTGAAGCCTAGGACAGAGACGAGTAGCTGCCTGATGCTCTGACAGGGCTTGGCGCCATGAACTTGTCCTTGTGTGACTTTGATCTTGTTAAGGTCCATATCTGGTTGCCTGAACATATGAAGTCTTTATGAGAAAATGAAGGTTTTTTTGTTTTTAAAGTAAAACTTTGAAGTGAAATGAGTTTTCTATAGGAATTACCTTTGATGACTTTAGAGCATGTTCAGTAAAGCTTTGTTTCAGATCTCAGTAGTCAGGAATTTGCTTTCCGGAGTCCGTACAATTGCACATTAGTAACATTCTCAAACTGTCGTCATTGGAGCTGTGTAGGGAGGGGTGTTCCAGACCGTGACCTTGCCTCATGAGGAAGCCAGGGATTGCAGAGAGCCCAGCAGTCCAGGCAGGCTCCAGGGTCAGAGTTGAAGTGAACATAGTTTAAGGTTGATAGATGATTGACCCGCCCCTGCCCCTGTTTTCTTCCTGGATTTAGTCCAGGCTGTGGGAAGGTATCTAACGTGTGCATCTTTTCACATAGAGCTTTCAGCAGAAGCCAAAGCTGCACTGCTCGAATTTGAAGAAAGAGAGCGACTGCATAAGCAGGGACGCTACGGCTCCCGGCGGGGCGCGAGGCGAGGAGGCTCTCTAATGTGTCGTGGAATAGGAGACCAGAGGAGAGAGAACAGCGAGAGGGGAAGGATGAAGGAGCACAGGCCTGCCCTGCTTCCTACCCAGCCTCCTGTCATGGTAACTATGCTTCTTGTTCAGTGCCTAAAATCTAAATACCAGGGACAGAATGCTTCTGTGGGCGGGAGATTCACCTTCACCATTTCTTAGTCTGAAATTAAAGAGAAGTGATAGTTGGTTTCCAATTTTTAGTCTGTAGTGAAGCTTTGTTTATGGTCTCAGAAGCTGGGACCTCCAGTAATCAGGCAGTAAGAAATATACATGTCTCAACTACTTCCACAGGAGTAGCTGATGGCCTAGTGCCCCAGCTGTGACTAGCCCCAGCTGAGCCCCACTTTCCCGAACACCCAGGCCTTCTCAAGTGCACTGCCTTTCAAAACCCAAGTCACCACATACGTAATTACACAGTTGTTATTTTGTTGGGGTTTTTTTTTTTTGGTCATTTTTTGAGACAGGGTCTCTCAGTAGCCCCAGCTGGCCTGGAACTCACTATGTAGACCAGGCTGGCCTTGAATTCACAGAAATCCACCTACCTCTGCCTCCCGAGTGCTGGGATTAAAGGCGTGCGCCACCACGCCTGGCCACAGTTATTATTTTATAAAACATTTTTAATAGGCTTTTCCTTAAATAGCACTTTTGTCTTAATTATCGTAGCTTACATAAAAAAGTTTTTATGATTTAGGTATAAATTATGTAGTTTACCTTAGGTGACTTTTTTCCGTCTTTCTGGGATGTCTCAGAGGCAAGGATAGGAACCATGGTTACTGTTCTTTTAGCAGCTGGAGGTAAGGGTTTCAGCTTTCTGCTCAGGAAATCAGTGTTTGGGAAGAAGTGTGGTGCGAGGAAGTGTCTAGTGCATGCCACACCACCCTGAGATTTCTGATCTGCACTTTAGTGTTTCAGGAGTCATCTGCTGGTAAGTTAACGAAGAAGAAAGGGTGATTTGTGCTCTTGTGTTCACATCCCCTGAGGGAGGAGGAACCAGCGGATTGGTGGCATCAGTGAACTGCTCTAGTGCACACTGCTGTTTGGTCCCTCATCAGGTGTTCTATTTCTCCTAGCAGACCTTTCTTTTCTTTCCCTTCCCTCTGCCCCAAGTCTGTCAAGACTGACCCTTTCGTTACTGTATCTCTTTGTTGGAAACACTATAGAACTCCTCCTTTTTACCTACAAGGTGAGGGAGGATAATGGACACAACCCACGTCTTGACAGCAAAGCTGTGTCCTTGGATTCTAGTGGTACTGCTCCTGCTGCTTAGTCACCAAGTTGCTGGCCGACTGGGTCTGACAGGCCGTGCATGTGGCTGCAGCCCGTCTTCCCGTGAGTGGTGCTGTGGACTGTACAGGGCTGTCTTCAGTGAGCTTGCCCTTCCCCTCGTGTTCCTCCCCAAGCCACAGTGATGCTTGGTCCAGCTCGCTCCCTACCCAGAGCCAGTCTGTCTCCTTGTCTGTTCACCTCTGGGTTCCAGGAAGAATATTCTTGGCCCCTGCCGCCCACCTCCTCTTGGCTGGTCCTTTGATGCTGGATTCCATTCTTCTCACAGTCCTGAACTGCACCCTTGGTGGTCACTCATTTGGGGTGCTTGTCCTGTGGCTCACCACCCCAGGGCCTGTGTTGTCACTGTTACTGCCTTTCTCTTGAGTCTCTTTTTGGGGACTATCTGTTCTTTCCTTTCTCCCTCCTACACCGTGTAATGATGTGACACATGCATGCCACGTATGACGGTTATACCACGCTAAATTGTCTCCATCATCTCACGTTGTGGTTGGGGTGGGAGCATTTGGAATGGCCTTTCTCATGGTCTAGCTTCAGCAGTTTCTTGTAGCAGCTTTACTTACCACTCTGCTGCCTCTCACCTCAGTTCTCTGTCCAGCTCTGGTTCTCATTTCCAGCTGCCCCTGTAACATCGCCACATGGGTTTTCATGGGCCTTAGAGTCTATTCACGTAAAACTACACAGGAGCTTTCCTTAAAACTCCATTCTGCTGTTAAATTATGACCATGTACAGTGACCACCTCCTTAGTATCGCGCTGTTACTTTGGACGTCCCCACGTTGGTTAATGTGCTTGTCTCTGTTCTCTACCATCTGGAGGGTTGGGCTAGATAGCTCTACTTCCAGTTTTGAATAGGTGAGTTTATTAAGAATATAGGAAGGCAAAGTAAAAGAATAAATAGCAAGAGATAGATAATAGAAATTAGAGATGATAGAGATGATAGATTAGATAGATGATTGATAGATAGATAGATAGATAGATAGATAGATAGATAGATAGATAGATAGATTGATTGATTGATTAGATAGAAAACTTCATCGAATCACTTGCTCAAAACATCTCGCAGAAGTAGACTGGGGAAGCCTCTCTGAAGCTGGAGTTCTTGATGGAGTCCTAGGAGAGCAGGGTTCCCCCTCAGGTGAGGCTACCAAGTAAAAGATCAAATAACAGTAGAAAAGTGACATCATCAATTCCAGAACTTAGAAATGGATTGGGGAAGCTGAGGCAGTCAGCTGAGTTCCATTTGAGCTTTCTGTCCATGGATGAGCTTCCCTGGGCTGAACTTCTGGTTCTCTTTCCCACAGCACTTTTATATCACGGGATGAACCACAGTAACCTGTGTTGGAAATGGTTCACCTTCTAGCTGTTCTCAAGGACATGGCGTTTTTCTCGTGGGCGGTTTTGCTGTTCTCTTCCCCCCCTGTCACAGAGTTAGGGGAGCCAGCCTATCTCCGAACGAGGGGCCTGGAGGATACTGAGACAAACATGCTTGGGTTTAAAATGGGGAGGGGCCCCCACTTCCAGAGCCAGCTTCTCAGCTCCAGCAACCCGTGATGGCTTACCAAGGTCAAGTCCATTATCCTCTCAGGTGTGTAAAAGTGATGGGAGAGAAGGGCATGTCCTAGACCTGGATGCAGGGAGAGTACACTTTTATTGGTTCCTGAATCTTTGGAAAAGTTCTCTCTGAGGAGGGATAGCCAGCCAGTGCCACGTGCTAATTAGTTTTAAGTCTCATTGTTTTTCTGAAGTCTGTCCTTGTTCTTCATCTGATAGTGGCTCTTTCTTTTCTCTGCATTCTGCTGTGGCCTATCATTGGCCTGTGCTAATCTCTTCCTTCTCACATGCTGCCCGGAGAGTCACTTTCCTACGAGAAGACACCATCGGGGCTCTTCATGTGCATTGTATTTGGAACTCAGAAGCCCTCCATAATTTGGCATCGTCCCAGGGAAAACTGCTGTTGAATGAGGTGGCTGAACTGTAGGTGTTTGGCTGCTCCTTGGCAGTGTGGCCAGTTTGATGAGTGGTTAAAGGAAACTTGTGCAATCACATTTTCTGAATTCTGATTACTTGTAAAGAGGTTAAGAAAGAGGACTGTCTGTCTGACATTGCCATTAGCTCGGCCTGCTGCTTCCTGTGCTGACCTTCAGCAGGGACTGGACACGGGGGCTGCGGGATACCACGGGTGCCCCTGTTTTCCTTCTCAGTGACCTTTGGAAACAACTGCTTTGTGTCCCTTTTGTCCCTGAACTGCCTTCTCTCTGTGCGGCTCCTGGTGTCCTGGTGGACCACACAAGAAGGCTGTCCTCCTGCTTCTCCTACTGGACCGTCACTCTCCCTGGGCCTGGGTCCTCCTGGAACTGCTCACTGTAGCCCTGGCTCTTATCTTCCCCTCAGGCAGGTTTCTGGTGCCGCCTTCTGTCTGCCCCTGAGACCCCTCAGGGAAGAGGAACAGGGTTGGCTGTGCTTGGAGGCTGAGGGAGCCTTGCTCACTGTGGGCAGTTTTGTTTCCTGGGAGGACTTTTATTTTTCAAAATTGATGTAGTGTGTTTTGGGGCTGCCATTTCTTCGCTGCTTGTCTTGGACTTGCTTAGCTGGGAGCTTCTGGTGAGCAGACTGGGCGGCTTCTTACCCTATGCACCAAGTGTGCGTACAGGTTGTTATGTGACCCGATCTCCAAGAATAATCAGTGTGAGCTTGTAGCAAATCAGCATTCCCTTCATTTTCTTTGAAATGGTGATTCCTGTACTTTTTCTGTTTTGGTGGTTTTTAGGCTCACTCTCCAAGATTAATCCCTCCGCCGCAGCCACAGCCTCCTCCGCCACCGCCACCACCTCAGCAGCAGCCCATCAGAAGCCTGTTCCAGCAGCAGCAGCTGCAGCCTCTGCTCCCCCTGCAGCACCCACATCATCCCTCCCCACCCCAGGGAGTGCACATGCCTCCCCAGATGGAGACCCCAAGGATGATGCTGACTCCTCCTCCCGTGACTCCTCAGCAACCCAAGAACATCCACATCAACCCACACTTCAAGGGGACGGTGGTGACCCCTGTTCAAGGTGCGTGCCCGCCTAGAGTGTATCAGAGGCTCCGATGGCAGGTATGTGGGAGCCACCACCATAGCGGCTGGGTCTCAGATTCCGGGTGTGAGGCCACATGAGACAGTTCAGGTTGATGTGCAAGCTCATTTCTTCACAATGCCAGTCTTTCAGTTTGTGATCGAGTGTAAAAGTTCTCTGAACGTCCTCAGTATGAGGCACAGCTGGAGGTGCTTGAAATGATCTTTCTCGGGTCCCACTTGGTCTACCCCTTTGGTTTGTGTCATCTGACAGAGAGGCAGTCACCCATCTTTCAGTTGTTGATTGTATTGCTATGACAGAAAGGAGTTGCTAGTCCTGTCCCCTCCGTTTGTTGGAGAACAGAACGGACAGCCGTCTGTTCCTGTTTCACGGTGGAGGAGGTCCATCAGCAATAAGCATGATGAACAGGGCTTGTGTGGAGGGAGAGTTCCAGTGGGCAGTGGGCGTTCATGGAGCAGGTGAGACCCAGGGGAACTCAGAGCGGTAGTAAGTGGCTCATCAGGGAAGAAGGTCTCAGATTGTAGAGATAGATACAAGGGCCTCTTGAGTGAACCCAAGTCTTGGGTTTGAGTAATTAGAGACTCACTTGACTTCAGTGCTGGGACAGAAGCAGGGAAGCCATACAGGTCATTCATTCCCACCTGTACCACGTAAAGATGTCACTTTGACCAGCAGGAGGGGCAAGACCTTGTTCATGGTGTGTTAGGATGGTGCAAAAGAATGTTGGGTTTGTATCATGAAATTTGCTGTTTGGTAGTGGAAAGCTGTCTTGATAGATGTGGCTTTGTTTTACATCATTTTAATGCATATTACTTGCTTTATTATTATTTCTTTTTTGCTAATGGCAAATTGCTTGCTGTTTATTTTATACAAAACCAACTTTAAATGATTTTCTTATTTGAGTTCAAAACTCAGTCATAGCAGCAGGCCAACTTGCAGCGCTGACCCCGGCTCAGGAACTGCTGATGAGTGGGCACTGCAGTGGTCGTTCAGGAGGTTCTCTGAAGGAGATGAGAGCCTTAAAGATGAGGTGTGAAGAACCGGAAGTTACAGTGACCAGTTGAGAGTAATCATTGAAGCGTATATTCTTAGAACCCTACTGCAGAGGCTGTGGAAGAACTTGGTGTGGACCATTCTGTGTTCACTGGGCACCTGAAGCAAACTGGAAAGACGAAAAGACCTCTGAGCTGACTGAGAATCCCTGACAGCATCTCGAACGGCCATTGTCTCTTACTCTGCACAACAAGAACCACTTCTGTGGTCAGATTACGGCCTGTAATGGAAAGTGCATAATGATAACACTTGGTGACAGCCAGCGCGGTGGCTGGACCCGGAAGACGTGCCAGAGCATTTTCCAAAGGCAGACTTAACCAAGAAATATGGTGGTCACTATTTAGGAGTCTGCTGCTGGTCTGACTCACTACAGTTTTCTGAATCCCAGTGAGACCATGGCATGTTAGGAGTGTGCTCAGCAGACTCAGGCCATCACATCAAATGCTGCATCACCTGCATTGGTTAATGGAAAGGCTCAGTTCTCCACATTTCCTGAAAGCTTGGTAACACCCAGTGCTTTGAAAGTTGAACAGATCTGTTATGAAGTTTTGCCTCGTCGCCATCTTCTCCTGACCTCTTGCCAACTACCAGTTCTTGAAGCACCTAAACAACTTTTTGTAGGGAAACTCTTCCAGAACCAGCAAGATGTGAAAACGCTTTTTGAAATTTTAAATCCCAAAGCATATATAAAGACAGGCTTACCTCTAATTGGCCAAAGTGTATTGATTAAAATGGTTCATATTTTGATTAATAAGGATGTGTGTCTGAGCCAGGCATGGTGGCGCACGACTTTAATTCCAGCACTTGGGAGGCAGAGGCAGACGGATCTTTGTGAGTTCAAGGCCAGTCTGATCTCCTTAGGGAATCCAGGCCAGCTGGGGCTGCAGGGAAATCCTGTCTCCAAAAGACCAAAAAAAAAAAAGAATGTGTGTTAGCCTGGTTATAACTTAACTTTCTTGGTCCAAACCTGCAATTCTCTTTGTACCAACTTTATAAAAAGATCATCTTGTCTCTGTGCTTTGGTGAAGGTTTGTGGGGTATGTGGAGAGGAGCGTGTGTCCAGATAGGAGGTAACTGTAGGAGCAGAGGCAGCGGGGTATGGCTCCTGTTGGTGTGGCAGCAGAGACAGTGAGAGGGGTGGATGCCATGGAGTCCAGTATCAGGGGTGGGGGTGTTGCCATCACCTCACTGGAGGAGCTGGGATGTATGCAGGTGGAAGCAGCTAGTTGGCAATTGGATAAGTTCAGATTTGGGATCTGGGCTCGTAGAACAAGTTGGGGCATTGCTGGTGGTTAGAGGGTCTAGAGCCCTAGAGGAGGTATAGGTGTGTAGAGGTGACAGGAGATACTGAAATTGGGAGTGCAAACAAGGTAGAGATTGGCTGGGGAGATGCAGGGATGGAGTAGGATAGAGGGCTGAGGAAGCAGGTGACCAGGTGGGTTGTGGACTGTCCCTGGCTTAGGAAGGCCTCAGGGCTCTGGTGGTGGCTGGTGACGTGAAAGAGGTAGGAAGGAGCCTGACTAAGATGGGCCCGGAGTGGAAGGTGCTCTGCAGACAGGACCTATCTAAAGCAAAGCTGCTGGTAAGTGGTTGGGGAAGTGGACTTGAGAGAGTGTATTTTCATGCAAAGAGAGTCCCACACTTAGAGGGAAGAAAATCAGTGTGTAGGTAAGAGGGAAAGAAAGCACATCCTCTTGGCTTAGACATGCAGGCCAGGGCCCAGCAGTGGGCGTGGGCAGGTTGCCCTGTGTGTGGTGGCAGGAGGCAGAGTTGTGGCTGGGTCTTGTGATGGCCTCAGTCTTCTCAGTAAGTGGGTGAGGGGCGTGGAGAGGCTTGGAGCATGCTAGGGGTAAGCCCCAAGGCTGGAGGTCCTACTGGTAGAGTTGGCACCATGTTGTGTGCCCCTGCCTGTGCCTATCTCCTGTGCCAGGTGCAGCATGGGTAGTTGAGTTTAGTGTGGTGGAGGAGACGCAAGGCCTGAAATGATGAGGAGGAGAGGAAGATGTTGGAATTGGTTCTAGAGAGGGAGAGGTGACGGGTTGGTGGTCAGACCCACATGGGAAGGAACGTGCCTGTCCTCAATAAGGTGGCCATGGGGACCAAGTCCAAGGGCATGGGACTGGGAAGCAGGGTCCCAGTGATGGTGACAGGGACCCAGGAGCTGATTTCCAAGGAGGAGTATTAGGTAACATGGGGGCAGCAGTACGATTGGGAGTCTACTGCTCAGAAGCCTGGGGGGAAGAGAGCCTGCTTCTTTGGGGATCCTGAGAGCAGGGTCTGGGATTGTTGACTGTGAGCTTGGGATTTCAGGGGGGTAGAGAAGTTTCAGAAGTTGGGAGATAGCTGTGACAGATAAGGACTCTGGAAAAATCTGGAGGATGACAAGGTGTTCACTGGCTTGTGGCTCTTCCATGCTGACATATGTATATGGGTCAAGAGTAGAGTATGAAGATACTGTCCTGTGGCTGTAGATCAGAGAGCTGTTACTGACACGCTGCCTGTGTCACCATCAGGAGACCATCCCTGTTTACACAGGACCACGTCATGGCAGAGAAACAGGCCATGGGGTATGATCTGCTTCTTCTTGGTCTTCTCATGCCTCCTGAGTGAGTCGGGCTATGTGTCGGGGCTCTTCTCAGCCTGAGCTAGTTATCTGTTCCTCATCATCATCCTACCCTCCCAGTGGCTTGAGGAGAAAGGATATGTGCATGCTTGAGCCTCCAGTACAGAGCCCCTGTGCCTGTAGATGTTGGAAGAGTGAATGTGCGAATGCACTCTGTGTGAAATTGTTTTTTTCACATGTGTGTATATGTAGTGTACATGCTTGTGTGTTTGCATATTTGTATATGTTTGGGCAGGTACAAGTGCATATGATGTGTGCACAGGCCAGAGGTTGGTGTCAGGTGCTGCCTGTTCACTCTCCATCTTACATATTGAGGCAGGGTCTACCTGAACCCAGAGCTCACTCATGGGGCCAGTCTAGCTAGTGGCCTGTTTTGGGGACCCCCCCTGTCTCTGCCTCCCAAGTGCTGGGATGTTTACGGGTGAACCACCATGCCCATCCAGCATGTATGTAGATGTGAGGATTCTGAACAGTCTCCCCAGCCCCTCACATAAGTGTTTGCCACAGTTCTTTCCCTGAATTTACTTTCTCCGTAGTTTTGTTACAGGAGCATCCTTACCAGGTTCAGTAGGTCAGATCCACAGGTTTTCTTTAGCCTAACAGAGGTAAGGTTCTAATAGAAGTGTGGGGAATGGAAAGGATCCCAGAATGTCCTTTAGGCCAAGGGCCTCTTCAGTGTGGAAAGTCCTAAATGCAGGTGCCGCTCACTGTAGCTCCAGAGTGACTCAGTAAATGCAAGGCCCATTTGAAACTCTGAGACCCAGCTGGAGCTTGTCACCATGAACCCAAGAGTTCCTTGTCTTTAATGCAGCTTAGATGCTCAGAGGTGTGCTGATGCTGGGTTCACATGGCAGTCCTAGCAGCTGTTCTTGTAGTGCTTTATAAATGAATTTGAGCCTAAGTCCCCAGTTCTTGGGGAAGTCTGAGTACCAAGATGCCTCCTGCACACACAACCTGTAGATCAAGCCAGCACTTTTCAGTCTTATGTAGTTAAGTACATTCGAAAACCTTTAAAAGATTTGATTTTTAATTATGTGTATATGTGTGGGTGTGTGCATGTGTGTGCACGTGCTCCGGGAGTCCCAAAGAGGGTGTTGGATCACATGAGCTAGAATTTCAGGCAGTTCTGTGTCGTAACCTGGGTGCTGGGAATTGGGTCTTTCTGTAAGAGCAGTACGTGCTCTTAACCACTGAGCTATCTCTCCAGCCCCCTAAAAATCTTGTAATTGACATGTATACAATGTACAGAGCGTATATGTTTACATGAGTCTGCGTACATGGTGCTGGTGCTTGAACTCCAGGTTCCTGCATACTAGGTGCTAGGCGAGTACTCTTCTACTGAGCTACATCCCCAGCTACATCTTTTCTTAATGTCACCTAGTTTCTGAGGAGGAAAGACCACTCCATTCTAGTATAATTAAACCAGTTTGATGGCAGTTTTAACTTGTTTTCCAGATTTGCATCCTTATAATTATTGTAATAAATTGAAAACAGGATAATGAATCTAAGTAATAACAAATTTTCAGGTTCAGTATTTAAGTATACTGGTGGAGTTACTGAAAGTTGTGAGTTTTCTTTGGTTCTATGGTGTGTGAGAACAAGTTGGGTCTTGAACCTGCTGGGTAATTTGACCAGCTCCTCTCTGGATTGGCCCAGCACTCTTGTCTGTACTCGTTGCACCTGTCCCCAGCTCGGACTACAGAAACTTCTCAGACCCTGCCTCAGAGCACGGCGTGGCCAGTCTTGAGGCCCCTGGAGCTTGCTTCTTGGATTGCAGGTGGCTTCCCTGTGTCCACACCAGGACTTCCCCTTGTGAGCATGTGCTTGTGCATAAGTTTCTCCCTAGGAGGACACTAGTTAGGTGGCTCACCATCAGGAGCTCCTTTTGCCTTAATTGCTCCTTTAAAGACCTTTTCTCCGGATGCCCCATAGTTAAGGTTTGCAGTGGGAAGGCATCAGCATGCAAACCGAACAGCATGTGTTTCAGTGTGCCTGATCTTGTGGATGCTTCCTAGGTCATCTAGCACCACATTGGAGTGGTGCTCCTGCAGCACAGTGATATCCAGACCAGTGGGGTCAGCACAGTGGGATCCTGATCAGTGGATCAGTCAGCACAGTGCAAGACATGTTTCAAAGAGCTCAGTACACGCTTTAGCCCTAAGGTGTGGAACTAACCTCTCACTTCACTGGTGAGATGTCTGTGAAAAATGAATTCATTCTTTGATATACTAGACTGATGAGGACCCAGCTTGTTTATTTGGTGATTCTTTCTTTGTAAGGCGCTGTGAGCATTCCTTCAGTTCCCAAGAATGCTATTGCCTTTCTTTGCCTGCCCCTCCTCTCCTCTCTCTTTCTCCTCCTCCTCCTCCTTACTCATGATTCTAAAAAGAGATTTCAATTTGTATGTAACTAGACAGGGCCTCAATGTGTAACCCAGGATAGTCTTGAACTCACTCTGTAGCCCAGACTGGCCTGAAACGGGTCAGTCCTGAACCATGGGATTACAAGTGTGCCCACAACACTCCACCTAACTAGGTCTTTTTGTTTTAGAGACTGTTATCTTCCTTTGTTGTAGTATTTTAATTTTCAGTAACAACTCTGTTCAAACCCAAGCTTCCAATATCCTGTTGTATCCCCTTCCCTCCCGCCTTTATGGGATAATTGAAAGTACCCAGTGTGTAACCTGACGTTGCTATGTGGATGCTGTACGGAGTGTGTGCTTTGGCGTTACCACTCCTGTATTCTCTCTCTCTCCCAACGCTTCTGATGCTATGTGATGGTAATGCAGGGTGTTTTCTTGCAGTGCCCTTGCTACCAGTTCCGAGCCAGCCGAGGCCTGCCGTGGGACCCCAGAGATTCCCAGTGAGTAGCAGCTGTTTCTTCTGTTCTGGAGGGGAAGAGCACACGGGGACCCAGAGGCAGTGATGCTGTACCTAGGGGCTTCAGCCTCATACCATCGTGGGGCTTGGGAATCTTGACTGGCATCTCTACAGTGGGAAGTGTGGGTTAAAAGCCGAAGGTCAATGGATTTTTGAGAGTAGAATTAATTTTGTTTAACTGTGAAATTGTTGACTCAAGATCATCAGTGGATTACCTTTCATGTTAAAGAATATGAATTCTCAGCCCGGCATGGTGGTGCACACCTTTAATCCCAACAATTGGGAGGCAGAGGCAGGCGGATCTCTGTGAGATCCAGGCCAACCTGGTCTACATAGGGAACTCCAGGCCAGCTGAGGCTGCAGGGAGCCCCTGTCTCAAAAAGACCAAAAAAAAAATAATATGAATTCTCACTTTCTTATGATCCTGGGTTGAGAGCACATGTTACAGGCACTTGGCATGGTGAGTATTGTGTCAAGTTTGTCAGAAAACAAAAATCAGATACTTGTTTTTTTAAGGGCTGCTAGTGTTAATGAGCCATCTGCACCCCGTTTTTAAATGAAAATTTCTACTTTCAGGTTTAAAACAAGCGTGCACTCAAGTACTGCCCATAATTCTATCCATAACTAGAAGCAAATAGCCAATATTTCTTTAGGTATATGCATTTGACTGTCTTTGCATTCTTGGTTATTAAAGCACTGACTACATGGTCTTGTTAAACAGTGTGGGGAAAAGTGGATGTGGTGCTGGGATTTCAGTGTCATTTTTGGAAGAAGGGAAGAGTGAGTGGGCTATGCCAGGAAGTGCATGAGCTATTCATCTCACTGGCAAGCGCTGCTTCTCCAGATGACCATGTTTTTGTGGCATTTCAAGCAGGTTTGGATGGAGAACTCCCATATATGTCTATCAGGCTGTACTGAGAAACCAGTGAAGCATTGGCCTGGTGGTTTGCAGTAACTAGAGGTTTCCTTGCTTTGTGGCTACTCTGTGTGAGTTCTCACATGGTTCCCTCTGGCCCCAGTGAGGGTGGACTGTAGAGAATGCAGCACTCCGTTTTCCAGAGAGAAAATGAATGTAGGGCTGGCTTTTTCTAGCACATCAAAAGTGTTATGTTTTTAAAAAGTTCTTCAGAATATATTTGGGAGGGAGATAGGCTCCAGGTTGTCCTCTCACATGTTACTGAAGCTTGCTAGGAATGTAAATTTAATATTGCATATATTTAACGAGAATCTGCCTTATGCAGTTCTATAAACTATAAAATGAACCAAGCATAATTAAATGAAGACTGAGTTGTGTCTTTAAGCTTTTTCCTGAGTAAAATGATAAAAGTCTTTGGCCATTTACTGCTGCTAGTCATGTGTCCTACAGGCCCCATCCTAGAACTTGTGTACTATTGAGATTCAATACACAGAATTTTGCTTCATAAAATAAAATGATTCACAAGGTGGACGTAGTGGCACATGTCTGTAATCCTGGGACTTGGGAAGCTGAGGCAGGAAGATCCTGAGTTAGATAGCAGACTGGACTCTCTAGGGAGACCCTGTTCCAAAACATCAAGGACTGGGCATGTAGTTCAGGGGTAGAGTGTTTGACAGGTGTGCATGCTCAAGGTTCTGGGTTCCATCCACAGCTTCAAGACACAGACACATAGACACACAGGCACATGCACACACACACACACACAAATACATGCACACACGGACTTTGACTACTATGACAGCTAATCTTGGTTGTCAATTTGATATGCCTTGGAAGAGAGACTCTCCATTGAGAAGTCTTCCCTCCTTTCCCGGTCTGTGGGACATTTTCTTGACTGCTACTTGATGTAGCGTCCAGCCCACTGTGGGCTGTGCCACCCCTCTGCAGGTGGGTCTGGGCTGTGTAAGAACTGTGTAAGAAATCTAGCTGAGCAAGCCAGGGTAAGCAAGCCAGTGAGTAATGTTCCTCTGATCTCTGCTTCAGTCCACACTGCAGGGTTCCTGCCTTGAGTTCCTGTCTTGGCTTCCCTTGATGATGGAGTGTAGCTTATAAGCAGAAAGAAACCCTTTCCTCCCCAAGTTGGTTTTGGTCAGTGCTTTATCACAGCAACAGAGACCTGCAGAACACACACACACGCCACCACCACCTCCACCGCCACTGCCACCACTACTGTGCACACACACACATACCTAAGAAGCCAAACTTCAGATTCGCTAGAAGATCTGTTTGATTCATTGTGTTCTTTGGTGGATAAAATTAGATTTAGCCGGGCGTGGTGGTACACGCCTTTAGTCCCAGCACTTGGGAGGCAGAGGGAGGAGGATCTCTGTGAGTTCAAGGCCAGCCTGGTCTACATAGTTCCAGGACAGCTGGGGCTACAGGGAGACCCTGTCTCAAAAAGACACCCCCCCCCCCAAAAAAAAAAATTAGATTTGAGCTTGGAGGCCTTTGTTCTACTTTCCAGAAACTAGAAGTTAAGCAGAGCAAAGTTCGTTGAGATTGACTTTCTCAACTCAAGCTCCTTTAAGAATTTTCATTGCTCTGAGGATAGAGGTTATCCTGGGCAGCATCTCACATACATTGCATGCTTTTTCCCTCCTGTCATTAGAGTTATGAGTTTGTTCATACTTGTGAGACTTTTGTGTTTGTGTCTGCAGTTGAACTTCTACAGTTGATCTTCCACTGGTGCAGACTCAGCCCGGAGACTTGTGCACAGAAGCACCTGTGACTATGTAGTTGCTGAGTGCTCAAGGCTTTAGTGTTGCGTGACCGTGTCCTTATCGTAAGCCCCACATGGGATGAGCCATGCAAAGAAGAGATATGTATTTGAAATTTCTGTATTTTTCTTTTTCAATGATACATTGGTAAGATTTTCCCAGGAGGATTATGGGGTGTGTACTAAACTACAAAAAACTTATTGTGCCACGTGCCACACTGACTAGAGAGCAAGAAGGTAGACCGCAGACAGGACTGGATCCAGCTTCTAGTCTGGAAAGGTCCCAGGATGTATCTGTGCCCCCTCTTCTCCACCAGTGGGAACTTGGGCTTGCTTAAAAGTCCATTTTGTTTGACAACTTTTTGTAAAACTCAAGAAACAATTTATAACTAGTGTATCTAGACATTTTCCTAAGTGATAAACTCTCTAGGTTTGGTATGTGTTTGGTTTGGTATGGGTATTTTGTTTGGCTTTTAAGTGGTACTGAGAATTGAACCTAGAGCTTTGTACATGCTAGATTACTGATCTCCTGCTGAGCTAATGCTGCCAGCTCCATCTTCATTTAATTAACACTCAGACACAATGTTAGTCAACCTAAAAATCAAATGCCATTTTTCATGTGATTATCTAGCATTATTTTTAAAAATGCAGTCTGAGACAAAAATATATTTTAGGCTCTATGCTTCATGTAAGATTAATGTTTTTACTTCCTGATAATGACTATTGGAGGATTGGATATACTTTTTATAGATTAGAGATTTAAATGTGAAAGTGGGAAATGCTATAAGAAAAGTCCTGTTTTTAAAAAAAATTTTTTTGAAGAAATTGCTTTAGAGGCACCTGGCTCATCCGATCTTTGGTTTATTTCTAGTGGCTATTTTATATTTCCAGACTAGAGTTATGAGCCTCTTTTGCATGTAGAATGTGTCTCAGTTGACATCCTGGCAGTGTCTGATTTCTGCCTTCATATCAGTGGTACTCTTTTGAATGTGAAGTACGATGGTTACTTGAGGAATACATGGTCACAGGAGCTGGTGGGCGAGGCAGCGGTGACCTGGCCTTTGCTGTGAGTCTTCCTGCCTGGCCTCTCGCCAGTACCCACTGCTCACTGTGTTTGTGTCTGAGCTGCTGATGTAATTCTGCAGCATGTTCGTGTTTATGTCAGTTTCTACAGGGAAGCAGGGCAGCTAGTTTACCTCACAGTCAGGGTCTGTATTTGTTTCTATTTGGATACTGCTTTCAACTCATGTTCTTTGTTTTTCCTGTTAATGATCTTGTCGGCTTCTCTGCACAAAGCTTGTCCCTAGTACGTGTGTCATTAATGTGGTTAGGTCCCTTTGTCATCCACAAGTAGGATTTTCAGTTATCTTACAAGATACACCAGTCTTCATTTGCTCACCAACAAGCTAAAATGTCAATTGCTGCAATAAATGTTATGTCAGAAATTTTGTCAACCTAGTTTTCTGTTTCAGTCCATTGACGCTTCTTCAAGGGTGTTCAAACTCTTTCAGTCCTTTGGTTTCCTACTGTTGTAGTAGGCAGATGGTAGGCAGCACTCCAGGTAGACAGGCTGTGGAACGATTTCTTAGTGTCCCCTGTTGAAGGAGGCTGGCGGACTGCTCTACTCTCTAGTACGGCAACGAGGCTCCCAGGCCATAGTACATGGTATCAGGTGTTAGTGTTTGGGGCTTGCTGCATGGGTCCTAAGTGCCGTTTCATGCAAATTATGTCTGAGAAGGCTGCTGTAGCAAATCCCATTTTTTTTTTTATTATAGTCTTAGAGATAAAGATCAAGACTCTGCTCTCCAGGAAGGAGTCTTGCTTTTGAGCACTTACTGTTTTTACAACACAGCTGTGATGCCTTGTAATTATTAGCACTTAAAATAGGGAAGAGGTGATGGGCATCTTATCAGATGTTTGAGTAGTAACGGAAGAGTGTGGTAGGAGAGCCCTCCAGCTGTCAGATGTTGTCAGGCTTGGAAACAGAGGATGCAGTTTAAAATGCAGGTGACATAATACCCAACATCCTCCACTTGCTTCTGGGTTTCTGATTAATCATGATTACCATACATTATCATACCATCAAATTTAATCATATCAATGAATTCCCATCTGCAACAGGAGCAGGAGCAGCTAAACACAGTGGAACAGCTATTAAAGGAGGCGCTTTATCAGTCCGTAACCCTTTAACTTGAATGCTCTGTTAGTATGCTTGGTGCGTGGGGCTGTAGGCGGGGCTTGGGTTAAAGGCCACACTCACAGCCCAAAGGCAGGTACAGCCATCGCAGTT